CAGCTGTTGATGGGAAGCAGGGGCAATGACTCGCTGGGAGTTCCCCTGCTGGACAGCGAGAGGATGGAGCACATCTGGAGGGTCCAGAAAAAGCATCTCAAGTGCATTCAGGACCCGCCAGGTGTTGCACTTTACATCAAGACTGGGGAGCTCTCAAAGGGAGGAGTGACTCTCCCCATCTACAGATGTGCCAGAGGCTCTACATCACTGGAGTCTTTTCACCTCCACCTGAACCGCTTCATTCCAGGTGTGTGTCTATCAGATGTGTTCGTGCATGTGTTGTGTAATATTTCATCATTTAATTTTTAACTATGTATTTCCAGGGACCAGTGCCAACAGTGTAAATTTTCAAATTTACCTGTTGGAAGGGTTGCACAGGTGGAACCAGGACCGCGGTGCTGCAGCCTTATCCTCTGGACCATCTGCTTTCCGCAGCTACTCTGGTGAACTGCTTCACTGTGTAAACAAAAATTACCAGAAGCTGTTCGGAAGGAAGTTGGCACCAGAGTTCTGCCCACCCTCCCGTTACACTGGTAAGCCCAAGTGAACATATTAGTAATTAGTAATGTAACTAAGTTTGAAATATATTTTATTAATTTTGCTAACTTTGCACATGAATCACTTATGACTATTATTTCAGGAGAGCTCATAGGGGTGCAGTATCTCTTCAGGCAGACTGGCCAAGCACTGCAGGATATGCACCCTGATTCAGAGGAGACGGCTCAGCTAATTGAGGAGCATGATGTGGAGGACAACATGGAGGAGGATGAGGGTTTCTCTGATATCCCAGAGGATCCAACAGTGGTCGAGATCCTTGAAACCTCTCTGACTCCTAGTCCTTCCACCGTCTCCTCCACAGCTCCAAGCACATGCACCGTCTCCTCCACAGCGCCCAGGATGTCCACTGTCTCCTCCACAGCGCCCAGGATGTCCACTGTCTCCTACACAGCACCCAGGACATCGACTGTCACAGCTCCAAGCACCACAGCACCCAGCTCATCAACAGCTTCCAGCACTCCCACTACTTCATCCTCTGTAGCCAGAGTTGAAGATGAAGTTGCAGTAGGTGTCAGTGTGTTTAATTAGAATATGTATGAATATGTACATGTGTATCGCTCTGGACTATTTTTGAGTACATATTTATTCAGTCCACAACACCAATGAAATGTTATAAAAGTTCATTGTCAGTAAAGGCTAAACATTCTTATCTAAAATGTTTAATCATTTGCACAGGCTGTTGATGAAAGAAATATTCCTGGGTACCAGCATGTGGACAGCCTGGCAGAGTACCAGGTGGACCTTTGGGAGCAGACAGCCTTCTTCCTTAACAACCAGCAGACAGACACCATCATCTCACTGTGGCAGAGCCTGGATGACTATGATAAGCAGCAGGTGAGAGATACAGAAGATCTTTTATATCCACAGCCAACAGGCTTTTTAATTCTTCTGCAAATGGTAGATGAGCTGACAGACTAATGAATGGGCACAGACATTCAACTGGTTGAGGTGAACCAAAACACCCTCATCCAGTGGCACAACCACCGGCAAAAGAGACTGGAGCTGTCTGTAAGACTTCAGGGCACTGCAGGCCAGGCACAGCAGAGGCAGAGAGCCTCACCCCATCGTCCAATCATGCCAAAGGGGCCAACAAAGAAGAAGCTATTCACTGCATCCCCAGCTCCAGGACCTTTTCTGGCACCTCAACTTATGCCACCAGCTGGTGTGTTTCAGTGGGTACTTCCGGTGGCAGCTGCTCAGGGTACCAACATCAACACCACCCCACAAACCATGGCACCGTGCACAGAGGAAACTGAGGCCACCATAAAGAGGCCATATAAACGTACAATAGCAGCCAATACATGCAAAAAGTGTGGGCAGTTCCGCACAGCTGAAACTGGCCACAGCCAGTACCGTGGCAAGGTGTACTGTCCTGTGACAGAATCCCAGCCAAAAGAGCAGTGGTTAGAGGAAATGAGGAGTAAAAATCCAAAGTAATACCAATAAAAGTATTGTAAAAATAGTGTATATAGTTAATAATCGTCAATAACTTCATAATGAATAGTTGGATATTTTGATACAAAGATTGCTTTTCTAAACTGTGAATAAATATTTGTACATTTGTGTTTGTTCTTTCAGTGTTGGTTTGGATTATTACTTCCTTCGAAAGTGTTTCTTTGTTGCCATTTTTTTGTGAGGAAATAAAACTTATGAGCAGCAATTGTAACTACCGTCGATCACAGCATCTTGCTGCATAGACTAGAACACAAAATTGGGATTAAAGGATCTGCTCTAAAATGGTTTGCCTCATACTTATCTGACCGATTTCAATTCGTTAATGTTAATAATGACCATTCAAAGTACAGCAGAGTTATTATGGTGTGCTGCAGGGCTCAGTTTTAGGGCCAGTTCTCTTCACTCTTTACATGCTTCCATTAGGGGATATAATCTGTAAGCACTCCATCAATTTCCACTGTTACGCTGATGATACTCAGCTCTACCTATCAATAGCGCCAGATGATAGAAGCCGCCTCATCAATCTGCAAGATTGCTTGAAAGACATCAAATCCTTAATGTCTTCTAACTTCTGAACTACTACTGAACTCTGACAAAACAGAGGTTATTGTGTTTGGACCTAATCATCTCAGGGACATATTCTCCAATCAGATTGCTACTCTGGATGGCATCACCCTGAACTCCAGTCCAACAGCGAGGAACCTTGGAGTCATTTTTGACCAGGATCTTTCCTTCAGTTCTCACATCAAGCATGTGACTAGGACTGCCTTCTTTCACCTGCGCAATGTAGCTAAGATCAGAAATATCCTCTCTTAGAGTGATGCTGAGAAACTGGTCCACGCATTTATTACTTCTAGGCTAGACTACTGTAACTCTCTCTTGTCAGGATGTCCAAAAACCTCTCTGAAGAGTCTCCAGCTGATCCAGAATGCTGCAGCGAGGGTATTGACAAGAGTTAATAAGAGAGAGCACATCTCTTCCATTCTAGCTTCTCTCCATTGGCTTCCTGTAGGATATAGAATAGACTTCAAGATCCTTCTACTTACTTACAAGGCTCTTAATGACAAAGTTCCAACTTATCTGAAAGACCTCATTATCCCATACTGTCCTACCAGAGCACTTCGCTCCCAGAATGCAGCCCTGTTAGTGACCCCCAGTATCTCTAAAAACAGACTGGGAGGGCTTCAGTTACCGGGCTCCTCTATTATGGAACCAGCTCTCTCCATGGGTCAGAGAGGCAGACACTCTTTCTACATTTAAGTCTAGGCTTAAGACCTTCCTCTATGACAGAGCTTTTAGTTAGGGCTGGCTCAGGTAGTCCTGATCCATTTTATAGCTAAGCTGCTATAGGCTTAAACTGCTGGGGGAGACATCAGGTTACATGGAGCGCTATCCTTCCTCTCCTCTCCTCTCCTCTCCCCTCATACATTTTGAACTGTCATTATTTGTTGCACTTTGTAGTCTGGCCTTGGTGTCTCGCACTCTCTCTGTATTTCCACAGATCTCTTCAGAGCTCCATCCCCCTGCACCAACCAACCAACCGCCGCCTTCATCACCTCCTTTCTCCTGCTGTTCAACCGGCCTGCACTCCCTGCTCACGACCCTGTCTGCCGTCCAGTAGCCCCATTAAGCTGGCCTTCTCTCCCTGCCCACCAGGAGCTGCCTTCATCATTTTTCGTGAACTGACTGATTCCATTTCCATGTTTTCCATATTCCATGTTGTAAATTGTTTTCTTGTCTGTATACAACATCTATTGCACGTCTGCCCGTCCTGGGTGAGGGATCCCTCCTCTGTTGCTCACCCTGAGGTTTCTCCATTTTTTTACCTGTTAAAGGGTCTGGGGAGTTTTTCCTCAGTTGATATGAGGGTCTAAGGGCAGAAGATGTTGTCATGATGCTGTGTAAAGCCCTTTGAGACAAACTGTTTGTAAAAATGGGCTATACAAATAAAGTTGCCTTGCCTTGCCTTGTCTAAGTGTTTTTAATGACCGTATGTTGAAAACAGCACCACAGCAATAATAATGATAATGAATATAACAACTGCTATGACAACACTCAATTAAAATATCATAACATGGTACAAGAAAATACATTACACAAAAAGAAATTTTAGTCAAGTGTTAAGTATACACTTATGCTATGACAAGTGTATTAACATGAAAATTGTGCCAAATGATTCAGAGGTCAAGTAAAGAAATTCCAAAGTCACCGGTTCAAATCCCGTCCATGGGTAGTGCAAAACACTGCAAAATATTAAAGTTTCATATTTGTCATGAGACAGCTAGACATACATTAATATGGACAAAAAAAGTTCACTTTTCCTTTCTTTTCTCACTTTGTCCCCTTTCTCTTCCCTTTTCTCTGTTTTTCGTTCTTCCCCCTTCTTCCTCTTCTTTGACAGACGATTGTTCCCCAGCTTTTAGAAATGGTGGGCCGCGATTGGTCCGTCCCACCAATTTTGGAAAAGGACCACAGTGATTGGCTGACAGCAAAGGTCGAGAAAGATGGAAATGGGGCAACGTGATTGGAGGAGACTATACAGACACTCTGCTATCGAAGGGATGGCATTGTGCTCAGTTGTTCCGGTTTTGCATTGAAGAGTGGCTCAACAAAACTGTGCTTAAACGGCCATCAAGGTGGAGAGTGGGTTAAGGTAAAAGGCCACGGCTCTTGCTGTAAATCTTCTAGATTCTGACTTGATGAGTGGTGGCCTACCTGTGACGAGCTGGTATGTTTTTCTTTTTTTTTTTGCTGCGCATTTCCAAATACTTCAACCACCTAGTCTTGACCTTACTGAGATCAAGAGCCTTGAACCAATTCCGCCACATGCTAACTGGCCCGGAGCTCTCCATTGGGCTAAGATTCAAGCACCTCAGGGTGCCCTGCAGCTCTTTCAACATGTCATCAATGTCATTCGTAGCAGAGTACTGAGAACATGGCGCAAGAGTCTTGGTGCACGATACCTGTTGGTTTCCTTACTCCTTCAAAGCCTACAGCGCTTGAACCCACGACCCTGTAATCAAGAGTCTCATGCTCTACCGACTGAGCATGTCGGACCTTTCCTGACCTTGGACCTTTCGCCTCAAAACAAAATGCCAGCTTAATCAACACATCCGTGAGAGTTAAATATGCTGTGGTATGGTAACCTGAGCAGAACCTATCAAATAAGGTGAGGAGAACAGAATACCAGAGACATCTGAGAACAGCTATTTGTTGTACTCTTGTGCCCCTTTTAAAATCCCACGATGCCCAACGTGGGGCTCGAACCCTGAGATTAAGGGTCTCATGCTCTACCGACTGCGCCAAAAGCTGTGCATATTGGTTGATATAAAGCTACCATATATAGCTGAAATGCACCCTGAGCACGCGGTATCGAATCTCGTTTGTTCCGAGCTTGTTACGATCATATTTTGACTACTTTAAATTCAAATTGTCACACTAACACCCAAATCCTTATGAGAATGAACAATGTTGTTGTTTCAAACAGCAATGAACAATGGTTAGAAAGGTTAGGAAGAGAGCCAAACTAAGGAATTTGTGACAATTAATGTGATGCGAATATGACAAATACAATACAATACAAATTACTTTATTCATCCACAAAAGGAAATTCATTTGTCTGTCAGCTCATCAACCATTTGCTTAATAATTAAACAGTCTGATGGCTGTGGGTATGAAAGATCTACCGTATCTTTCTGTCCTGCACCGAAGAGATGGGAGCCGTCCACCACCGCTGCTTCTTTGATCCATCAAGGTGTTATGAAGTGGATGATCCGTGTTGTTCAGGATGGCCTCCACCATCCTCATTGTGTATCTTTCCACCACCTCCCCCAGAGAGTCCATCTTTACTCCAATGACAGAGCCAGCCTTCATGACAAGCTTATCCAGCCTCTTTGCCTGCTTTTTTTCCTAAACTTCCTCCCCAGCAGACTGCAGCATTAAATAAAACACTTGCCACCACAGACTGATAAAACATCTGCAGCATCTTATTACAGATGTTTAGAGATCTGTGCTTTCTCTGCTCTGCCCTTTTTTGTAGAGTGCATCTGTGTTAACAGACCAGTCCAACTTGTTATCAAGGTGAACACCTAGATATTTATAGGTTGTCACCACTTGATGTCCACTCCACAAGTGTTCACTGGCTGAAGAGGGGGCTAGTAATTTCTATTTCTATTTTCTATTTCTGTTTCATGGAGAACTTCACATGGAACTTCAGCAGTAGCCATTGGTGGGATGTACACAAGTATTGTTTTGATTTGAAAAAATGTCTTCTGAGTCTTCACCTATATCTCCAGCCCCTCATCACTCCTGTTGGGCACAGAGTTGATATTTTGCGTGATGACTGACAGCAGAAAGGACCTACAGTACATCTCCACTTCCAAGCCTTTAACCTCTGCACCACCAGCACAGCGACCACAAAAGCACCTCCTCATCCCAGCTGGAACAGGGTGGCATCCTCCACATTTTCTCCATTTTCAGTGACAGAAGCTCCTCTCCTGAAGAATCTCCTCTCCCCACAGAAGTATCCATCAGTAGTTGACACACAACAAAAACATACAAACACAACAAAATAAAGCAAAGGTTGAGTAAAAACTCAGAGCTACCAGATTTTGCTGCTCCCAGTTGAAGCACATGTTCTGGAATATATGTAAATTTGTAAAGATATATATGGAAATATGGGGATTATTGTTATTACAATTAATATAACTACATACAATGATAAGATTCCAGATTCAAGATGTTTATTGAATCATAACAACAACAATACTGATAATAATAACAATAAGAACAATAGTATAATAATAATATATGATAACAATAATAATTATTATTACAATCTTAATATAGTTAGAATTCAGGCATGGTGCCTGGTAATTTTAAGCCCTGAATGAAATGGAAAGGGCAACATAAATAACAAAATGAACAGAGCAAGAATACAGGTACAAAGCCAAACACAACTCCCACTGAATGTTAACACTATGTTCTGTTCTGGCAGTGAGACTTCCTTCTAAGGGGACAAGTGGTGCAAAGATGCAAACAAACATTTTAAGAAGCTGGAGGGTTGTCATTTCCTGGCTTTTTTTTTTCCCATGACCTAGTTGCTCCAGCACAGCCCTCCATTCGCCATATGACTGAGTCTCAGACTCTTCGCAGTACCAGTTGCCAAAGTACTGAAGATGTTATGGTGGCTTTCTCTCTTTTTTGCACTTTCTGCAAAGGATCACATCCGTCTTCTTTACATATTTGCGTGTGACGGTGCCACTGTGAGCCCTTTGCTCTTTCCTCTTCCTGTATTGTTGAGTGGTGTAAGAAACAGCTGGATCGGATGTCTGCATCTGAGTTGATGGTGGCACAGCTGAAGGAAATGGGAGGTTGAAGAACATCATCTGTGAGGTTCCAGGTGCAGCCATCACCTGTGAGGGTCCAGGAGCCTGTAGGAAGCTGCACAGGTGGAAAAATGAGGGGGAGAGAGACAGGTGGTGCTGGTGCAATGACAGGAAGTGCTTGACATGGTGGTGGAGCTTGGGAGATGGCCTGAGACTCCGGTCTCTTCCTGAGCTTTGCCTGCCCAGCAGTGTTTGCTGGCAGGTTGAAAAGGTGAGGCTCAGCTAAACTGCCAAAATGCAGAGTTGGTCCTTTCTGCATAGCTGCAGGAAGCTTTTCCGGTCCTTCCATGGGTGCGTCTGGAGCTGGGATACCCTGCTTCAGAGTCATTTGTTCCATATTATGAAAACTGATTACTGCTGGAATATCATTATCAGTAACATGTAAGTATGTAGTCAATGTGTGATCCTTACTGTCTGTGGTATTTTTGTTCAAGTTTTCCTTTTTTGTTTATTCTGCTTTTTGGTTTTCTTTTGTCTTTGTTCTGCCCTGAATGTATTTCATATGTTTTATACGTTTAAAAGACACTCAAAATTATATTGAAGTGTTTATTTACTGTTTTTCCATTATATATATTTGCGGCGCCTTTATTTTAAACACTCGATCACTCAATAACAAAGCACTAATTCTAAACGAATTCATCACTGATAACAACCTGGACTTCCTCTGCATCACCGAAACCTGGCACAATCACCTGGACTATTTTTCTCTCAACCAAGCCACTCCTCCTGGATACACATACATCGACCCGCCCCGTCCCACTGGCAAAGGTGGTGGTGTGGCCTCAATCCATAAAAAAGACCTCAAAATCATCACCATATCCACCACCCCTGCTCACTCCTTCGAAACCATTGCTTTTAAACTGCCTGGTCCTGCTCCCCTGGTTATTGCAGTTATTTATCGCCCTCCCAAGCCCAATCCATCATTTCTCTCCGACTTCTCCGACTTTGTTGCACAGCTCTCAGCCATCTCACCTTCTGTCCTCCTCCTTGGCGACTTCAACTATCACATCGACAACAGAAACTGCAAACAAGCCTTAGACTTCCTGGACCTTCTGGACTCCCACAATTTCACTCAACATGTCAACTCTCCCACTCACAACCATGGTCACACCCTGGACCTAGTCTGCTCCTCTGGTCTCGCCATCCATCAACTTTTCAGCATCAACCTCCACATCTCTGACCACCTGGCTATCTTCATGGATATCAATCTACCCTCCCCCCTCCCCAAGGTCAAACGAACTATATCCTTCAGAAACCTTAAATATATCTCCCCCCAGGACTTCTCAGTCTCCCTATCCAACACCCTGTCAACCCACCCTCCCCCACTGTCTGATGATCCTGACGAACTAGTCAACCACTACAACAGTATTCTCTCCTCCTGTCTGGACCAACTTGCTCCCACCAAAACCAAATCTGTCTCTTTTTCCCACTCTGCCCCCTGGTACACCCCGGAACTCCACCAAATGAAATCCCGCAAGCGCCAGCTTGAAAGACTCTGGTTTGACAGTTCATCTCCAAGCCTACACAGACCACCTCCTACAGTACAAAGCTGCCCTCAACACTGCACGCTCTACCTACTTTTCAAACCTCATTCACTCCGGCTCCAACAACCAAAAGGCTCTTTTTTCTACTATAAACAAACTCCTTAACCCCAGCGACAACATCTCAAGTTCATTCACCGTTGACAAATGCAATTCCTTCCTCTCATTCTTCCAGTCCAAAATTGACAAAATCTACAGTTCCCTAACTACCTCCCCTACTCCCCCACCCCCATCACCCCCCTCCACCCATCTCATCACCCGGCCCCTCTCCAAATTTGCACCTGTCTCCCCAACTATGCTATCCACAATCATCTCATCCATGAAGACTTCCACCTGCATGCTTGACCCCATTCCATCCTCCATCGCCAAGGACTGCTTCCCCACCATCTCTCCGCTGGTCTCCAAAATCATCAACTCCTCGCTCAGCTCTGCCTCCGTCCCATCTTCACTGAAACTTGCTGCTGTCACCCCCATCATCAAGAGACCTGGTCTTAATCCTGACATCATGAACAACTTCCGGCCCATCTCTAACCTCCCATTTCTGTCGAAAATCCTGGAACGTGTTGTCGCCTCACAAATAAAATCCCACCTCAACACAATGACCTCTTCGAAGAATTTCAATCCGGATTCCGCTCACAACACAGTACTGAAACCGCCCTCCTCAAAATTACAAATGACCTCCTCCTCTCCTCAGACTCTGGACAAATCTCCATCCTCATCCTCCTGGACCTCACCGCTGCCTTTGACACCATCAATCATTCCATCCTACTCTCCCGGCTGAACTCCCTCCTCAACATCACTGACACTGCCCTCACCTGGTTACACTCATATCTCTCTGGCAGACAACAATTCATCTCCATCAACAACTGCTCCTCCTCAACTGCCCCCCTGTCCCAAGGCGTCCCACAGGGTTCTGTGCTTGGTCCTCTCCTCTTTATCCTGTATCTCCTCCCCCTTGGTCAAATCATCCGCCGCCATAATCTTCACTTCCACTGCTGCGCTGATGACATCCAGTTATACATCACCACCAAATCCATCACCCCCTCAACTCATTCCACCCTGTCAAACTGTCTGACCGACATCGAATGCTGGATGCAAGCAAACTTCCTCAAACTTAACTATGACAAATCAGACATGATTTTAATTGGTCCAAATTCCCTCACCCAAACAGCCAGACTTCCACCTCACCATTGACAACTCCACACTGTCACCCTCCCCCCACTGCCGCAACGTTGGAGTCATCTTTAACAGTAATCTCTCCTTCGACCAACACAGCAAACACATCACTAAATCAGCCTTCCACCACCTAAAGAACATCTCTCGCCTCCGCCCCTCACTCTCTTTCTCGGCCGCTGAAACTCTAATCCACGCCTTCATTACATCCGGCCTTGATTACTGCAACAGCATACTATATGGTACAACCGCCAAACTCCTCAATAAACTCCAGTGCATCCAAAACTCTGCTGCTCGCCTCCTCACCCACACCCGCTCCCGTGACCACATCACACCTGTCCTCCAGAACCTCCACTGGCTCCCAATTACACAACGAATTGAATTCAAAATCCTCCTCCTCACCCATAAAACACTCCATAACCAGGCCCCCTCCTACCTCGCAGACCTTCTCCACCCGTACATCCCTTCCCGCACCCTCCGTTCTTCTGATGCCATTCTCCTCACTGTCCCCAAGACCAAGCACAGAACCTGGGGAGATAGAGCTTTCTCTGTTGCTGCCCCCACCCTCTGGAACTCCCTTCCCAAACACATCCGGGAAACCACAGACCTCAAGACTTTCAAGTCACTTCTCAAAACGCACCTGTTCCACTCTGCTTTTAACATCTAACATTCTAACTCTACCTGCACTGTTATGATCCATCTGGTCCATCCACTTCACTCAAATCCTTATCCAACTGTGTTTTCTCCGCTCTGATTGTTTTGGACATCTTGTTTGATAAATCTCTGCATTGTATATGTGTTTCTGTGTTTCTAATATTGTTGTTTTCTAATAAATTCTGTGCACTTTGAGTATTTTGAAAGCACTTTATAAATAAAATTATTATTATTATTATTATTATTTTGAAAATCTCCCGAACCGGAAGGAGGAAATGGCAACTAAACGAGAGGAAAAAACGTGTGTTTACATTGTCTCACGGCCGCATCTATGCCATTAATCTCTCAGAAAGCAATGGTTGTAAGTGTCTCGTATTGTTTACAGGTTTGATAAGATGTGTTAACACTTTGTGAGTGTGTTGTGTACTAATGTCGCAGTTTAATGCCGTAGTTTGTGTGGAAGAAGTGTGTGCATTTACCTGCCAGGTTGACTCGTTTTCTAGCCTGCTGTGCGAATACCTGTTGAGCTAATGTTAAGCAGCTGATGCCTTGATACGTTTATATTGATATTTGCATGGCTGTTTATTGAGACCTTTTTTGTATCTTTCTGTTCTAGTTTTACACCAAATTCAATGCAGTCAGAACGCTGACCTACGTGTAAGAAGATATTAAACGAGCAAGGCGCTCATTGTTCCTGGCTCTTGAATAAGGAGTTTAACTGACTGTTTATCTGTGTCCGCGCAAGGGCAAACACATAGAGAGAACAGTATAGTCTTCTTTGCTTTGTTGTCTACACATTGATTTTTAACATCTGTGCATAGTTGTGTTGCATGTTGTCTTGTCTTGTTTTATTTATTTATTTATTTTTTTGAATGCTCCTGTTTGTTTAAATTACTATTGTGTGTCATATGTAATGTATGTTTTGGACCCCAGGAAGATAAGCTGGTTGTCAAGACGTCAGCTAATGGGGATCTTTTAATAAACTTAACTATACTAATAAAGATAGAGATGATATTTCAGCCAGTGCCAGTTTCTTTAAAAGTTTTTAGACAATAAAGACCCTGCGCTTGCTAAATTTAACATACCTTTTGGTGCTCGCCACACCTGGTGCCACAATCTTTTTAGTGGGCCTGAATCGTCCCTGTTTTAGGGTGGCTTGGTGATGCAGTGGGTAAATGGTCTTCTTCTTGTCATACTCCCCCAACGCCTGCCACAGGGTGATGATCCTGGTGCACTCTTCTCCAGTCAATGCAAGACGGTGGTCTCTGAGGCCAACCAAAAACTCTGCCAAGTCCTGCTCCATACCCCTCAATATTGTCAGGTCCAACAGAATCCTAAAATGAAAGATAGTTGTAGAACTTTTGCTAGTAACAAATAATACTATTAATTATATGAAAGCACAGACAACCTTGATTTTGTTTCCAAACATGTAAATATACATTTTACAAGGAATCTGGTCCTTACATCATGTGAAATGGATTGTTAAAATGTTGAAAGATCCATGTCTGCTGATAATTGGTCCACTGGGGCTACATGAAAAAAGGAGGCTGGAGGGACCAGACTGATCAGCTGTGTATGTGTTTGTGAGTGTGTGTGTGTGTGTGTGTGTGCATGTGCGGGCATGCATGCGGACATGCATGTGAGGGCCTACAGGAGTCTGGCCACGGCGTTGCTTGCAGGAGGAGTTGGAGATGATGGAGCTATCACAAACAATGATGCCAGTGCTGCTCGCAGGAGGAATTGGAGATGATGGAGGGACCACAGAGGCTGCAGATGCTTGTGAAGACACTTGCCAAAGGTGGGGACAGTGATGTCTTGAAACTCCTCAAGCTCAGCATACCCTTCCTCCACCTCTATGTGAACATCTGTGGTCTCTGACTGTTCTATTGCCAACTTGTAGTCCTGCAGCACTTTACGAGTATCGATCTTTCAAAGCAGAAATTTCACGGCAGGATGTTTCAATGCCTCACTTCACCATGCCAAAAATTACGTGACTCTCCAAATGAAGCTTCATTACGTCATGCGCATATCGACGGCGTGTTGTGGCGGATTTGAATTCAGGGTAGAGTTTTCAAAATCCGTCTAAACTTCGTGGCTTTGACAGGAGCAGACTTAATTAAGCTGGCATTTTGTTTTGAGGTGAAGTTTTTTTCCTCAGGAAAGGCCCGACTAGCTCAGTCGGTAGAGCATGAGACTCTTAATTTTAGAGTTGTGGGTTCAATCCCCATGTTTGGAGTCGTAGGCTTTGAAGGAGTAAGGAAACCAACCTGCCCAAGAGCTGCAAAGGGGCTCGCTCTTGCTGCATGCTCCGGATTATTGACAAAATATCTGACCGGGAGGTCCGACAGATGAGCTTCAGTCACGTCATTCTGCATAATAATTAGCCATGTGCTTCTTATTCATTTATTTGTTTATTTAGATGGGACAATGCATATTACTGAACACTGCTTATGTGAATATTCAGTGTAAATACACGGCCTTAGCACCAAGCCCGGATCCTGAACCGGGCCCGGGGGCCTCGAGCTTCCAGAGGCCTCCGTCACGTAGTGTTTTTTTTTTTTTTGAGTAGATCTCATTAAGTGTGTGGTGAGTTATAAATTCATAGCCTACCCGAATTATTTGCAAATTAAAAAAAAACTGAGTGTTTGTTTTGCTGTCTTTGACGGGGACGTACACACGTAAACACGTACACACATAGATGACAGTAGATGAAAAAAAGACAGATGACCGCAAAATTTGAATCGACACAGTTGTAGACTGTACAATTTAAAAAGAGCAACATGGACGTTAAGTTAAAGCGCTGGGAGAGTGGAGCCTCTAGATTAAAATCAAAACAGGAGAGGGATAAAAGACTAGCACAAGTCCAACAGAGCATGCCTAATATCTCCAGCTTGTTCATTACGTCTAACCGCAACATCAGCGACAGTGAAGAGCGGGACAGCTACCCGGCAGATGCCTCTACTTCACTGGCTGAAGTCTCTATCATTACTGGCAATAGAGTCTGAACTCATCAGAGACCTGGACTTCAGTGATGTTGTGGAGGAGTTTGCTGGGAGAAAGGCCAGGAAAAAGGTCATTGCATGAGGTACTACTCTTAGGTGCTACTCTAATGTGTTGAGTGTGACGTAAGTGAGTGTGTGTATTCCTGCCTCCCGAGTTGTTAATGTAAGTGCATTGTTTTTTATGACTTGGAAAAATTGTTTTGTTGTGGAGACAGGTTGTTTGCTGTTCTTTTCATGTTTCTGCATATTTGAGTGTTTTAATAAAATAGTCTTGTGATCAATTTATCTACAGTTGTAGATATTTTCCTAAAATAAACTGTCGCCAGTCAGTGCGAATCCTGTGCACAGGAGTTTCGAACAACACTTGTGCACTACTAACCAGTCGTCTGTTGTGTTGGTGCACGTACAAGTGTGTGTGTGTGTGTGTGTGGTGGCAGCTCCATGGCTGATCAGCTGTGTATGTGTTTGTGTGTGTGTGTGTGTGTGTGCACGTGCGGGCATGCATGCGGACATGCATGTGAGGGCCTACAGGAGTCTGGCCCAGGGACCTCTGAATTCTTAATCCAGCCTTGCTTAGCACTGATGCTAAATTTGATCCGTAGTCTCCAAACATTAAACAATTAAAGCTGGGGTTGGAAATCCTTTAGAGCTCGCAAGAGAGCTAGCAAGATTTGAAAATTGCACCTCCTCTGAGTTCCTCCCCCTCCTCCCCCTCCCGTCAGTGTGTAAGTCCAAGCCACGCCCCCACAAACTGGAACGCGCGAAATGAGAAGCGGCAGGAGGAGTACTATATATATATACTATAATCTATTAAATACTAGCGTCACCGACCCATTTTAAACCCACAGAGAAGCTAATATTAGCATTAGGCTAACACAAGCTACGAAAGTAGCTACATTAGCAAAAGTTACACATTTCATAAAAATAACAAATCCTCCCCGAAGCAAAGCATATAATTACCTGTCCAACAGAAAGAGAGCAACCTCAGCATCACTTCAAATCCCTCAGTTGTCTCCACAAAAGCAACACCGATGTTTACTCTGGTTTGACGTCTGGCTTTATCCAGAGCCTTTTTGTTAGCAGCCTTTTCAGCCTCCTTTCTCTTCCTTGCCTTTTTCTCGGGGCAAGCCGTTACAAGTAACGCTGGAAGTAGTAACTGGGGCTGCATTTTCTCAGCCATTGCTCATAAATGAGCATGAAATCCGTTCTGCTGTAACTCTGTACGCTGATTTCTTCCGGCAACAGCGACACGTGAAGACGCGTCAGAGACAGGGATGAGGGGGGTGGATACAGAACTAGACAGGAAGGCATCTGATTGGTTTTTGCTCTTCGCACCGAGGAGCGTGGACTGGTCGGAGTTGTGTCAGTCCTGCAGCTTCCACAGAGGACTGATTATTTTCGTTCCTTTTTCTGATACATAATGTATTGATTACTCAGAAGGTAGAAGGACCATTTCACCCAGTACAACGAAAAGTGTTTCTGAACAGGATTATCAACCCCAGCTTTAACAATACAAATTCATAAAAGGTCATATAAGACAAAAGACCAATAAATAACAAACAGTAAACAAATAGATGTGTAAAATCCTGTACACTCATATATATATTTGTATACATGATTGCACACATCTCGGTTTGAACATGATTACATGATTGCAGAATTACCCAGATTGGACATGATTACATGATAGCACAATACCGTATTGGCCCGAATATAAGACAGTGTTTTTTGCATTGAAATAAGACTGAAAAAGTGGGGGTCGTCTTATATTCGGGGTCTAGACATTATACCCATTCACGACGCTAGATGGCGCCAGATATCATTGAAGCGAATGCTGAACTTGACTCCCCAGGCCAATGCGAACCCCTGTCACGAAGAATAAAAATAAAAATAGCGGTAGCACGAAGAAGAAAAATAAAAAATAGCGGTAAGAAAGAAAAGAGAAGAAAATAATAGAAGAGATAACAGAAAATGGAGAAACGTAGCGACAATCTGGAGAAAAGTGGGTCGAAGATCGGCCAGGTTAACCGGCAGCTGAGGAGAAGTTATGATGTAAACTTCAAGATGATGGTGATAAATGAGGCAGAGTCTTCAAACAATTGCAAAGTGGCTGTGAAATATGGTGTCACAGAGTGTAATGTACGGAGATGGAGAGCTCAAAAAGATCACCTAAAAAATGCTCACAGTCAGAGAAAAGCTTTCCGTGGTCCTCAGAGCGGCCGCTTCCAAGAACTTGACAGGAGGGTGTGCGCGTATGTGGACGAGAAACGAAAGGACGGGATGCCCATCAGCAGAGCTGTCATTCAGCTCAAGGCCGTGGAAATAGCCAAAGAGCTAAACATACCCACCGCATACCCACCTACCCACATACCCACCGCTGACTTCAAAGCAAGCCTCAGCTGGTGTAAAAGAATGATGCGGCGTAACAGACCAAATTAATTTGGTGTTTTAATTAAATTTAATTTGGTGTTGGTTTAAAAATTAATTTGGTGTTCAAAAAGTCTTTTTTCAAACTTGAGTCTTGAAAAAGAGGGGGTCGTCTTATAATCAGGGCCGTCTTATATTCGGGCCAATACGGTAATTACATAATTCCGTGATTTCACACGCATAGGTTTTAAAACATATAATTACACATGCTAGGACCAAACATGATTACATTACCCAGACTGAAAGACTGCATCACTACATTATTGCACACGTACCAGCCATAAAGATACAGCTACACACAGAAGGGAGATCCCAGCCTGAACATGACTACAGATGCTCACAGGTTTGTTTGACTAAGATCCAGTCTGTGAGTTGTGCTTTAAAAGTCCTAAATGTTGGACAATCTTTGATATTAATGGGTAGCTTGTTCCATTCCAAACATCCTTGAACTGATAACACGCTTTGGGCAAATGTTTTGCATCTAAATTGTATCTCACTGTCCCCTCTTGTGGCAGCTCTGGTTCCTATGCTTCTATCTGGCTGTTTTTTTATATACTCCTCCAGTCCGTGTGGGGATTTGTAGATCACACATACATGTTTGAAAAACTTAAAATTGTAAAAACTAAAAATGTTATATTTTTCCAGAATGTTGCAGTGATGATATGAATGTGTTCTTTTATCAAGTACCTTTAAAGGCTCTTTTGTAAAGCTGTTCAATTGGTCTAAGAGTTGTGACACCTGTGAAGGACCAATTTGAGAAGCAGTAGTTGATGTGAGACAAAATCATACAATGCAGGTACGCCTTAGCAGCACTGGTTGTTAAAAAAGGTCTATTTTTTTTAATTCTGCAGATTAAACTTGGTGGTATTTGAGACCTTCTTGATTGAGTTTTAAACGTTAGGGCTGGGTCCAATGTCACCCCAAGGTACTTCAACTGTTTCACAAGTTCAAGCTCCTCACTCCCTAAAATCACGTTGGATCTGACTTCTGTTTGTGTGGACAAGGGGAGAGTCTTTTTTCACGTCATTTACCTTTCACATTTTTTAATTCTGATGAATTGCCACCTCATGCAGTGACCAAGTATCATCCACGAAGGCAAGAAAATGGAGCTGTTCTAAAGATGTCCAGTGTCACTAAACAATATTCTCAGGATATCACATGTGGTTCATATGTGAATCTCTTACTTTTACCACCTGAACATCAAAGGAACATGGCTGCTATATTTCCCCAAACTATCCTGCACTAAAAAGAACATGTGAAATTGACAGCTGTGGACACTATACACTGAATACATTATATAAAGTTGGTGATTTGTGAGATGTGCTTCCACTGACTACAGATTTTATTAATCTTAAATGTTAATATCAATAAAAAAATAATGTAATAAATACTATTCCATGTGAACTGACTTTGATTTTCTGAAACTGTCGGCGTGACAGCCTGCAGCACATAGGGGTTGAGGGCAACAGATTCAAAACTGGCATGCAGTTTCACAGGCTGCACCTACTATCTGCTTGCACCTTTTCATCACCTACATGTAATAACAGTATATTTTATTTGTGGTGGTGTCATGCATTATAACCACAAAAGTCCAGGTGGGTAAATTAGTACTAGAATGTCTGAGACAATACACAGTACAATAATAGTTCAATCAGGACAGACTAATAAGAATACAAAGACAGATTTGTGAATTGTGACATTTATTGTGCCCAAGACAACTTTGGTGCTTAGACCCCGGGGGGTTATATCAGCTTTGTAAACAGATCAGTGAATGTGAAGCTTGCATCCGAAGCCAACTTCCCCCCTG